TACACTAATTTTACAAACATCATGTATATGAAAACATACACAAGGTTACTGTGAAATATATATAAGGAATAAAACTGTCATACTGAACAAACTTTAAACTTGATTGGTATAAACATATCAATTAGGAATAGTGTTATAGAGGAAACTTTCGTATTGACTAGAGTGTTACACTGAGAATAAAATCGATATCAAAGTGTCACATACGTCATTAAATATTACACTGGATTTGAAAAAAAGTTTACTTGTCTTCTCATTCCAACTTGTTATATTGGCAGTCGTTAAATTAAGTGTGTTCATTTAATTAAACTAAGCGGTGACCAGCGGAATCCAATCCATGTGCAGTGGAGACAGTTATCCACCTCAGACAATGGATAAAAGGTTGTGTAAGATCATAGGTTGATTGGAGTTAAACATTAACACCGTTGGATGCCACCTAAATGGTCTAGAAGTCCATTTCGCGCTCGAGACCGAAGGTCCTAACTGTGGATGTGCCATACTGAGGAGTCCCATACTAAGACGAAACGACTGATCAATACATTCAAGCTTTCATTGGTGGTCTAGATTAGATCGACCCAATAATTCAACTATTAATAAACTAGATATGTTTATTTTTCCAAGTGTTATGACTTTAGCTAACCATGTTGTTTTTTACTTAACCTAAATATACTGAAAAAATAAAATAACGGAAACTGATCATGAGATAAAGACGAAAAGTGTGGGTATGTCTTAAGCTATCTGTAAACACCGTCATTTCATTTTATATGTGTGTACTGTGATATTGTCCGGGTGCCCAAACCGAATCAGGTGGTTTTCTTAATGGGCCACACCCTGAACCTTTGACCTAAAGGTCTGATCCACAAGGCAGTGGAGTATTGTGAAGAGATGCAGTCCCATGGTAGCCGGTGGCCAATAGTTGTTTCATACGCCATTTTTTCCTTCAGGACCCTGGAGCCCATGTAGATTATGGTTTGGACTCAAGGTTTTACAACTGCCCTAGGTGGACTCACCGTGTCTACTGGCCTGGTTAAAACGCCGGACGAGCCCTCCCCACTCTCGGCCGTACCAGGGCATTTGGTGGTAAGCTATCAATGATAAGGGCGTATAATAGCGTTTAATTTAACAGAATACTCATGGTTTGAAAATTTAAAGTGGAAATTACTAAATATCCGTTTTGTTGGTTGATTCTAGTAGAAGCCTTGGCAAGTAATGAATTTTTCAATAACATGAATAAAAACAACCTATAATTATACAAATCAAGTCGAGAACGATGAACAACATTTAAGTCGACAAGTTAGTTACAAAATTAGATTATACACATTACCCATATTCACGGTTCAACTGAAATATATATGAAAAGTATTATTAACTATTAAAATCAGTCGAACCCAGGACCTTCAATCCTGCTCACGAATGCGATGTAATGTATCTTCTAACTAACTGACTTTCGTATATCTATTGTAAACGACAAACGTAAATATGTGGAGGATCTAACAATGACGGAGGAAAAGGCTGCAAGTGATGGAAACATGAGACAACTGTATGACACGACAAAGAAACTCTCTGGAAAACGCCGCAAACCAGAACGACCAGTGAAAAGCAAGGAAGGCGAGGTAATCACCAACACTGAAGGGCAACAAAACAGGTGGGTAGTACACTTCAAAAAACTCTTGAATCGACCAGCTCCACTGAACTCACCGAACATCGAAGCAGCACGCACGGACCTCCCAATCAATGTTGGCCCACCAACAATTGAAGAAATCAGCATGGCCATCAGACAAATCAAGAGTGGCAAAGCAGCAGGGCCGGACAACATTCCAGCAGAGGCACTAAAAGCAGACGTAGCGGCAACTGCAAGGATACTCCACATTCTCTTCAATAAGATTTGGGATGAGGAACAAGTATCATCAGACTGGAAAGAAGGACTTCTGATCAAAATACCAAAGAAAGACGATCTCAGCAAGTGTGATAACTACAGGAGCATCACTATTCTCTCAATATCAGGAAAAGTCTAAAACAGGGTATTGTTAAACAGGATGAAGGACTCCATAGACGCTCAACTTCGAGACCAACAAGCTGGATTCCACAGCGATCGACCGTGTACCAACCAAATCGCAACTCTACGGATCATTGTGGAACAATCAAATGAATGGAGTTCGTCACTCGACACCAACACTTAAGTAACTTCTCTTCATCGGGATAGTGTATTCGCATAATATTAAATCCACAACGTTTTGGAATTATCAGTTCTCAACTATGCCTGTGAGATTACATTTCTTTCCCTGAATATTATCCGATAGCTGTATGTTTGAATTTCACGGCCCTTGATCTTTCCACTTTATCATTTTACATAAATCAAATAACCGTCAGCAATCTACTCAAACCGCCCGGAGTATTCGATAATCAGTGTCGGGTCAAATAGCTCAGTAATAGCATCTCACACAGCGAGGCTGAGTGATAAGGGTCCGGATCCCATGTAAAGAACCAGCTGCCCCACGACTAAAGGTGCGCCTTGATGATGAGTACCAAACAGCACGAAATACAGGTTCAGGGCTTCCTCCAACTATCTTTTAGCTTAGACGATAAATTGTAGTTCTTTGCAAACCCACTTTGAATACTGTATTGTGAATATAATTAGATCAGTAATAATAACTAGAAAATAGAGAAAATCTGTCACTACTTACTGACTAATTATTGTCGTCATGTCAGACAGAGAATACCTACTCAGTGGTAAAATCGACGACTGTGTTGTAGATCAAACTGCACGGAACACACTAATCTCCTGGAGACGGGAAATGTGATTGGCTGTCGAATAACACTAAGGCTTCATCCAGATTGTTCTTAGCCACCAAAGACATTAGAACTAGGACCTGCCCAGTAGTGACAGACATGAAAAACGTGATAAGTTACTGTTCAATTACCAATTAGTGTAAACCACAATATCAAGTTTTGTTCTGTCAACGAACATTAGCCACTTGTCTTAATCATACCCGCCCTTAAGAACCTGATTATTCGAAACAACAAACCAATCGGTACAATTAAGAATATTTAAGCTATGACTGATTATAGCTGCTACCTCGAAGTTATAGGCCGGTTTGCATATTGCAACGATACAGACGAGCTATATTTTTGGTTATATCTTAGTGAAGGTTAAACAACGGACAACTTCTGAGAACCGTTAATGAACCAGTATTATATATATATATATATATATATATTCGTCGACTGAATTCTCGGGTATTGATCTCCTTCCAGGAGGTCCACTTATCGACTTAGAATATGCAGATGACATAGTCCTGTTTGGTGAAGACGCTGACAAAATGCAGAGTCTTCTGGTAGCACTAAGCAACAATGCCAGAATGTTTGGGATGCGCTTCTCTCCCTCTAAATGCAAGTTGTTGCTTCAGGACTGGTCTGCGTCAACACCTGAACTAAGGATAGGGAGTGAAGTAGTCGAACGTGTTGACAACTTCACTTATCTTGGAAGTCTGATCAGCCCTAATGGGTTGGTGTCTGACGAAATCTCAGCACGGATTCGTAAAGCTCGTTTGGCTTTTGCCAACTTACGTCACCTTTGGCGGAGGCGAGATATCCGTCTATCAATAAAAGGACGAGTATACTGCGCGGCTGTCCGTTCTGTTTTAATTTACGGCAGCGAAACATGGCCCTTAAGAGTAGAAGACACCCGTAAGCTACTAGTATTTGACCACAGATGCCTTAGAAATATTGCTGGCATCTGCTGGGATCACCGGGTAAGTAATAGTGAGGTTAGACGCAGGGTATTAGGGAATGATGGTAAATCAGTTGATGAGGTTATGAATCTTCATCGACTGAGATGGTTGGGCCACGTATTACGTATGCCTGAACACCGATTACCGCGACGTGCAATGCTAACCGGTGTAGGGGATGGTTGGAAGAAAGTTAGGGGCGGCCAAACCAAAACGTGGCATCAGTGCCTGAAGTCACTAACTTCTAGTCTGAGCCATGTTGGTAGATGCAGACTACTTGGTTGGGGTCCGCGTGACTTTCGTAACCAATGGTTGGAGACCCTTGGTGACATGGCTCAGAATCGATCACAATGGCGTCGGTGTATACACTCTCTGTCTTCTCTTAAACTAAGAGATTAAGATCACTTCACATCTTTCTTTCTACGAACTAATTCTTTCTTCCTATACTATATCCTTATTGCAATCTTTCTCCTATATATTACCACCTTTGACCTAACCACTCCTATGAATCCGGTGTTCATCTTGCTGTGCTAATGAGGTATGGCAACCTGGGCCGATGCATACATGTGCCTGGTCCTACGTTGTAGCTGACTGACTGATATATATATATTCTTATCGCTTAACCATTCAGTAACTGGATATTGGTGTTCTCAACTCAAGGGCTAGGAGGAAAAAGGATCGATAGGGACGCTAGGCTGCTCATACCGATTGAACGTCATTGGTTTAACACAGTGCTGAGATTGTATAAGTCGTATTCCGATTGGTGGATAAGTCACATGATAATTAGCCGGAATTAAAGTCACAACAGTTGAGACACTTGTTCGTTTGGTAGATAAGTCGGAGAACAATAAGACTAGACAAAACAATTTAAGTTTCAAAGGAGAAATCAGACTAATGACTGAACAGGGATGCGACGGTGACAAGATGTTTCTCTCAGAAAACTAGCATCTACAGAGATGCTGCCTTCCCATAAGGAAAGGGGGGTATTAAAATGGTCGACGCTAAATATGCACCATTTCACCTTGTCCCGCGGATTTCGATCACTTGCGGTATGGTCCTAGAAGTATAAAACTAACACATTATGGAATACTATAAAAAACCCGTGTACGACCGACCTCAAGACAACTGCGTTTTACGGTTTACGTTCACGTTCTATGTTGTCCAGATCACTACCTATTTAGTTTCCTGTCCAGATACCTCTTAAAAAGTACACTCCCACAGTTTAGGCAACCGGGGAGTTGAAACCACCCATACACCACTAAAAGCAATCAAAAATCATGTTCTGACTAATCATTTTACCGATAAGTTGTAAAATAACACAACCGAAAGTAACAGTAATAATATGGATAATAGTAACAATAGGCCGATATATATATATGCATGAGTAAAAATAACTAAATACTCAACATCATCGTCAAATTCAAAGATAAACATGAATAGTAGGAGCATGAACATCGAGAGAAGAGACAGAAAATAAGAAGAAGAAATTACTGTGCAAGTTAAATTAATGATAAATGTGAAATATTGGTAAGTTGATACCAATTTAATTTGTTTTCTCTTTAAATTTTTCTATTAGTTGATGAGATAAAACTAGATTTGGATGGATTCATAATGGAATTATTAGGATTGCTGAAATTATCATTAGGATTATTATTACCACTAATAGTAGACGTGGGAATGGTGGTGATGTTAGCATTAGTAATAGTAGTAGTGGAAGTGGAAGCAGTAACACTATTCTTGTTATCAATGGAGACAAGTGTTAAGTTATTTTTGTCGTTTGTGTTGTTGTTATTATTATTATTAGTAGTAGTAGTAGTATTAGTATGACTACTACTGCTACAGCCACCTCCAGTATTAATATTATCTGATTGTACATGACATTGTACAGCAGCTGATCTTAATGAACAGAGACAATTATTTTGTGATGCTAATGCAGCATTTATTCCATCATCAAATCCATCATCACGTTCTTCACTTCCAGTAGCTGGTCGTGCAAAATCCCATATTAAAATAGTATCATCATGTGATGATGAAACAATTTGAAAATCATCAAATTGTAAACGAAACACACGACCAGTATGCTGTTGTAATGTATGAATACATAATTGATTTGGTTTAGAACGAGGATTGAGTGCAGCTTTTAAATTCCAAACTTTAATTTTTCTATAAATTAATTAATTAAAGTGAATTAACAATAGTGAATACAATTAAAATGTAACAAATAATAATAATAATCAAAGAAATTAATTTTCTTAAAAGTTTCAAGTACCTCTTGACGACTAATAACCAACAGTTAGTATAAAATCTAATTATGGTGAATTGTAGTTATATAACTAACCTCTAACCAATATCTTACATATATCAACATAGTGAACATGATTTCAATATAGATAGACTAGTAATTAAATAATAATTTGATCGATACAATGTAATCCGTATTAAAGGACTAGACAAGCATAAGATTAGTGACAATGTTATTCAATGATCGACTAATTAAAAATATGCCCAAATGCTCTGGTACGGCCGAGAGTGGGAAGAGTCCGCTCTCCCTCTCGAAATGCTCTCACATGGCCACGCGTATATAGCCTCTGCTACTCACTGCATTCTCGCATCAGCGGTGTTGTTTACGAAATTGATAGGATGAAAAACGAATGTCCGGCGCTTTAACCAGGTTGGTGGACATGGAGAGTCCACCTAGGGGAGTTGGAAAACACAGATTCCAAACCATTGGTGTACATCGGCTCCATTATCCTGAGGGAACAAATGACATATGAACCAATCGTTGGTCACCTGCTACCATCGGACTGCATCTCCCCTAAGAAAACCACCTGCTTCGGTTTGGGCATCCGGGCGGTATCAAGGCCCTCACACATATCAAATGAGGTCTGTCTGGCCCATAGGTAATTGGTGCCTCCTTGTACCAATATCTACGTGTTACAATAATTAATTAATCAATTAAAAATATAGTGTACCTAGAGTTTATATATATATATATATATATATATATATATATATATATATATATATATATATATATATATATATATATATATATATATATATATATATATATTGCACTGTTCAAAATATGTCAGTTCCTTTTCTTATTATGAACATATTGTACATGATGCGACTTATAGAGTGGGTAATGATCAAAGTTAAGCATAGGTTATGTAATAAAAAAAGAGCAGATGAATAATTGAAGTTATCATTTTCAATGTTATGGCAGCACACAATACACACACTCTTAATCGCTAATATTTGCTAATCTTTCCGCAAACTGTTGGGGACGTTAGGTCCCTAGAACTCACTTGGAAAAGGACCAAATTATTAGGTTTGAAGCTAACACGAGTTCACTTGACCCACGAACGAGGACAAAGACTCGGTGACTAAGACCAGTAAGCTAGCTATTTGATGCGTCCCAGCCCCGCTAACTAGAGGGAGAAGTCCAAGCTCGGAATGGGAAAGTACATTCTGCAAACAGCCAGAAACGAGCGATAACAACAAACACAATTCAAAACGTATATATACATTGCAAAACCGTCCTTGGGGAGAGTTACAAAATAGCATAATAAAAGACGCAACGGAACAATGGCATTTATGATTCTCCCAAGTGGGAAATACGACATGAAGGTGACAAGAGCGCCTTTGGCGCGAAAACAAAGAAATTCAAATTTTCAAAATAAAATTACAAAATTAGGTCCTTTCCCAAGTGAGTTCTGGGAATCTAACGTCTCCAACACCTGGTTAAGGAAAGTATAATTTTCGCAACTAATGATTAGATAATTTAGTTGGTATAATTCGGAATCAGTAGCAATGGTGCAGAAGCACTCAATACTCTTCCTCTTACCTTAGATATTGACTTTTAAAATCATCCTACATATTTTGTTCAACAAATTAATTTTTAGTTGTATAGAGACGTATTGTCTATGCTGATTGTTTCTAATTTCATTAAAACTGTCATTGTTTCTACTCCTCTGGGATTTGTCTTGATACTTTATTTTTCTGTGCTAGTGTACTATGGCAGCTCGAACCGACAGATATATGTGCCAGTTTTTATGCCGCTTATGACTGATTCATTGTCCTTGAGGAAATTTAAAATACATTGGGAAACTTTCCATAGATTGAATACAATATAATAATATTAATAATAATCGCAAAAACAACACTTACCCATCATATGCACCTGACACAATACGTTTAGAGTCAAAGCGGATACACCGTACTAGTTCTTCATGTCCTTCAAGAACTCTGAAACATACACCAGTCTCAATATCCCAAATACGGATTGTATTATCGGAACTTCCGGAAACCACTAATCGATCACGATATTGTAAACAAGCAATACCTCGACGATGACCTGTCAATGTACGCACGTAAGCACATGTATCCGTAGCCCAAACCTATAATTATTTGAAAATCAATCAAAAACAAGTTGAAAGTCTAAGATGATTGAAGTTTAATAAAATAAGACATAATAATCTGGAAATGAATATAATAAGATTACTCACTTTGATTGTACGATCACCACTAGCTGAAACAATGTACTTATCATCGAAATCAACAACATTAACAGCAGCTCGATGTCCAACAAGAACTTGACGTAATTGAACATCTTTTGGCCAAGGACCCATATCCCATACTGCAATACTGCGATCCTAAAATTGATGAAATAATGAAACAAAGGGAAAATATTATAACTTTAAACATTGAACTTGTTGATATAATGTACGGGAAATGTAATATTTCCTAAGAACAATCAACTAATCAGTTAGTTATAAAGAACTTAGAACCTGGCATATATGTGCATTACACCAAGACGCTACACTATATAAACACAACCAGAAAAAATTATCAAGAAGAATGACATAGTAGGTAGTATCAGTGGTAGTGAAATAAATTATAATATAGAATATATGACTAGAGAAGAAAAAATAAATTCACTGAATCAATGGTGTGTTACAGAAAACACACGTTTAGATTACCATTTTGAAATTTCTAAGCTACATATATGAAACCACAACCTAGTACTCTGAAGTTTGCATTCTTTGATCAGTTGAATTTTAATGATACTTTTAAATTTTCGATAAATACCAATGCACTTCATACTGTAGCATTGATGTTAGTTGGAAGTGTATATAAAAACTTCCATTTTCTCACTATTTAGCTGGAGTTTTGTTGTCTGAGCTGGATAATTTAGTTGACCAATCAAGATCGAGATCGACAGGACAAGCTGTGAGTCATATGTTGAGAAATCTGAACACTTCACTTCTACCTGAAGTTTGTGACAATGACGTCATTCAGAAGAACAATGACAGTTCTACGACCAAACCATCCAGCTCAGAGTATAGAACTTCACCTGAGATACAAATTTTCCATACCATTTCGAATTTTCTATCTATCTTCTTAATTATTAGAAGTATGTGATAAGAGAGTAATGTATCAGAGGTGAAAACATGCTTAGGTGTTTGCTGTTATGATGTCTAGTTTTCAAATCATGTGGTCGACACTGATAATAATAATAATGAAGTCAAAAAATTACAAGTACTAAAGAAGATGAAAGTATTTTGTCAAAGATAACACTCTTCAAATGAAAATGAACTAAAAAGACCATAAGTCTAGGATACATTCACTTCATAATCGGAGTTATTATCATTGTGTATTATTTTTATGAAGAAACCTATATCTCATTAAAGTTAACATGGTAATGACAAACAGTACCTCTACAACTAAGGTATCTAGATAACAATGTATAACGATTACATTCATTGACGTTACATGATAGTGCAAATCATCGGCAAATTTTTATATACACAAAATCAGATTAGAACAGGTTAAACATTTTAGATAAACCTAATAGACATTGGAGTACGGAAGCTAGTTAATTGTTGATTACAACAATCACTTCCTAATGTTTTCTATTATTTACTACTAATGCTATTACTACCTTCACAAGGCTAGAATTTGTCTTCACAATTTCATCTCGCTCTATTACTGTGGTGTGACTACCTGAACCGATGTAATATGTTGCATATGACTGACCGATCGCTCCCAATCATCATATTTCAAGGTTAAGAACTCACCCAACCCAGACTAATTTGACTTTGGCCAGTAGGACTCAATTACCACAAGTACGTAAACATGAACATGATAATTGAGTAATCATGTTAAAAGAAAGGCAACTAAAATTTTCATAAGACACCTCTTTATAACTGGGGAAAAGCATGATATAATTAACTCCGCCTGTAGCTCTTCCAGGGTTACTGCTAGTCCCGAGACCGGATTAAGGAGAGTTTGGCATGGGGTCAGTGACCCCATCCCGTAAAAAACAACCTTGCTAAAACAACGCTAACCAGAATAAACAAATTAAACCATTTAAACTCTGGCCTGCAAGTTGAAGGATCTTCATTCAGAAGAATTATGACGTCTCATGATGAAAGCCGATATTCTTCGAAAGTAACGAGGCCGATGCTCCTTCTAACAACCAATCGATCACATTTGTATCACTAAAACATTCAGCAGGTCAATGGAAGACGTGAGACCCATGAGGAGCTGACATAGATTCAGATCATCACCTGACTGTAGCCAAGATGAAACTGGAGCTAAAGAAGAAATGGACAACTTGGGAAACAGTAATAGAAAGGTTTATTACAGTCTTCCTTCGACATACTGATAAAAACAATGAAATCAAGATAGCTCTCAACGACATCTTCCGAGCCCTACAAGATCTACTGAAAGAAACTACTATGTAGGACAATTGGAACGGGATAAAAGAAGCACTAACTTCAACCTGTCAGGTTCTGGGAAGCAAGAAGCATTATCATAAGTAACGCATCTCTATCAAAACCCTGGACAAGATTCAAGAAAGGAAGAACAAGAAGATAGCAATTAACAACGGTCGAACAATGACAGAGCAAGTCAAGGCACAAGCTGAACACTCTATAGCATTAGAGCTGACAAGTAGAAATACATGAAAAACCTAGCAACGGCAGAGGAAAAAGCTGAAAGAGAAGGAAATATGAAACAACTATACGACACAACGAAGAAACTGACGGAAATATAGTACACCAAAGAGACTAGTTAAGGACAAAGAAGGCAAGTCAATCACTGAGATTCACGAACAGAAGAACAGATGGGTAGAATACTTCGAGGAACTCTTGAATAGGCCAACTCCACTCAACCCACCGAACATCGAAGCAGCACACACAGACCTCACTGTAGTTGTCACTCCACCAACGATCAAAGAAATCAGGATGGCCATTAGATAAATCAACAGCACCTGATAATAAGCTGAAACACTGAAATCAGACATAGAAGTAACTGCACAAAGGAAGGCCAAAAAACACTCCGTCGAGAATTCGAAGCAGACTGTAGTGTCAGTTATTATGTCAAGCCCATATACCTTATTCTAGCTTCCGGACATCCCATTTTATTCATTCTACTCGAGCCATACTTTGACCTTGTTATTTATCCGCTTATCAATCTAGACTGTTTTTGTATGAGCGTATATGTGTGTGCCCTTCTTATCCCATTAATCACATGTCTGTATCTTTATTTTGTCTGACTACAAATACTGAGCAACGCTTGACTAAAATGGAGTTGGCTTCCCAGCCATCTTCCATACGTGTCATTTTGCTTTGCTATGTTTCATTCGCTTCATGTACGAAATATATGTATTCTCAAGTCAATTTTCGTTATTCGACTTATTTAATTCCGTTATTGGATAACGCGATTTAAGTCGACGATGATATACGAGAATAGGCGATAACAAACATCCATACGATCTTGGAGTCAGATCTATGGGGTCACCAAAAGACATCAAGAGGATGAATAGCAACTGGAAACAAGTGAAAAGGATTGTCCAAGACAGAGTTGGATGGAGAATGCTGGTGGACGGTTTATAATCCTTCACGAAGGGTAACAGACATAACTAGGTAAGTGTGTATACTTAATGATGGGTGAGTCATAAACAATGTAGCGTCTAGTGAAGATGCGAGTTAGCTCCAAGGTGCCATAACATACTAGAACAACGAGAACAAGTTAGCAAGATGTGTAGAAAAAGGACCAAAAATTGCGACCCATTCTGAGCCATATCATCCAACTTCTTAAACCACTCGATTGCGTTTGTCAGTAACAGTCCGCACCTACCAACAACACACCTCAGATTAACAATCAATGATTCCATGTAGTGATATACCAACTGTTGACTTGGTCAACCCTATCTTTCTTCCAATTAACTCCTACAATATTAAAAATTGATCATTCTTCAATATAACCAATGTTATTGAAGAACTATTTTGTCATTTCAATAAACTTTCCTGGATTTTACAGTAAGGTGCTTATTGAGCATTATGATGACGAACATAGTAAATGTTGTTAAAGAATATTCATTTAAAATGGCTACTTATTATTGTACTGACATGTATACATGATATAAATCAGTTCAAATTTAAAATTAAAAAAATGGATAACCTGTAAAATAATCCTCAGGATGCCTAAAATATTGCGTGACATCTAGAAAGTAATATATTCGAGAACACATCCACAACTACACAAGTTCACTTAATACAACGTCGAATTGTGTGTTCACAAATTCATTTCTACCAGCAAAATATTGCATTATTTATTTATTTGAACACATAAACATTAATGCAAGGGGGCAACAAAATGAATATGCGCCACACAATAAAAATGAGTTTGTGAAGGGATAGAGAAAGGAAGGTGAGTATGATAAAAAACAACAAAACTGAATAGAAATTAGTATATAGGAGTGAAATAATAATAGTAATAGCAATAACAATAATGATAGTAATATCCTCATTATTATTATAACAATGATAATGGAAGAAGCGGTTAAGAAAAATACACACAGTAGAATTGCCGCTAGCTTCTATTCTGAGCCATGTTTGATAACGTCTCCAGTCACTGTGTTGCACCATATCTAGGACCCCAGCGAGGGGGTAATGAAGGTCCAATAGAAGTCAGTCCTATACAACTTTCACGCCACGAAACCACATCATACACTGACCACCTCTCCGCTTTTTCCAAACAGTCCTAACATCGGCAAATTATGAATGACGTGGAGACAACACCTGTAGTACATCCCATTTACCCTATTTAGAACTATGAGAAGTGTATTAGATACGCTGCGGATAAATAAGTCTTAAGTTTACTTATTCTAATAATAAAACTAATGTAAAATACAGAAATAACACAGTCTAGGAGTAATCCATTCACCAAGAAACTTGTGCGCTTTAATGTAGAAAACAAATGTTGGGTTTTAAATATATGAAAAAGGATATGGTTTATATCGGATCACCACTGTTCTCCAGCTATTCATCAATATATTTATTTACTATTATATGAAAATGAAAACAAATATTTGCATAAATGCACTTTTAAAAGAATAAAAATAAACAATATGTCGCTTACTTTTGAACATGTTACTAGAATATTATTACGAAACCGTAAATGCAGCACAGCTTCAGCATGATGATTAATAACATTTAAACAGCATCCAGTGGATAAATCCCATAAACGAACTGTTGTATCACTGGAACCACTGATCAGCAAATTCCCGATGTATTGCAAACATAAAACGGAACCTGAATGTCCTTCAAGGACCTAGATTTTTTTTAAAAAATAATCGAACAGGAAAGTGATACCTAAACAAGTTGTTTTCATCAAAGTTTAAGTTAGATGAAAAAGAATGCAAGGGTCTGTTGATGATACAATTTTTGGAGCACTGATAAATAAATGACTTTTAAATATTGAAATTGTAATATCTGAACTTCCCTACAATTACTTCAGTTTGTGAAATGGCGTACTATCTACTAGTTATAATACCAAAAGATGTTAATCACAGTAAGATATATGATATTTAGGTTGCATTAATTCATCTAATCCATCTTCAAACACCGAATCAAAAGTATTATTTGTGATAAAACGTTCTTTCATATCATCTGAATAAGAACAGTTTGAAAGATAACCTTTGCTTGCACAATCTGAATTAGGTCTAAGGGCAGATCTTAAAAATGTTCAAAACAGTAGTTGAAAGTAGAGAATTTTAGGTTAGAAGCTGATGTTTACTTTGCTTAGAGATGAATATATCGACGCTCTAGTGAAAAACACCGGTTTATGGAATTGATTGACTAATAATGACATTATAAAAAAGTTGCAAATTAACATGGATATTACATGCCGATTGAATGGTACACTCAGATATATACAGACATAACGTTCATTTTTATCTGATCTCAAAATCAAATGATTAATGTTACATTAAATCACATGTTTATCCAATAGATTGGTAATACACTAAAACGAAATGATTTTCCAAAATTGATCCAGTGTTACATACCATATAGGTTCTAATGGTCATTTAGTTTTGTGGAGCAAGTGCTCGAAATAAAAACAAGGAAAACATAAAATATGAATATTATGAAAGGTAGTATTGTTAACCTTTACATAAAATAGTGTTTTTTACACTAAGTCAGTCAGCTACAACGTAGGAGCAGGCACATATATGCATCGGTTCAAGTTGCCACACATCATTAGCACAACAACATGAATACAAAACTCATAGAAGTAGTCAATTCAATGGTAGTAATCTATAAAAGAAAGATTGTGTATAAGGATATAGTACAGGAAGAAAGAATTAGTTCGTAGAAATAAAGGTATAAAGTTTACGATAACCCATCAGTGCAATCGACTTAGAATAAATCCATTGGGTTTTTTTGTGACCCTTTGGTTCAAATCATTAATAGATGTCTTTGCTGTTTCCACAGCTGATTGTACATCTTTCCAAACAACATCTGGATCAGCCTCGTTTTCAGAAATATCTAAGTGTGACCTCAGTTGTTCCTGGAATTCACCTTTGGCTTTCTCCTGTATCCAGTAGAATAGTGACTTCTAATCCCTGCAAACTACCCGTTATTGTTATAGGATATACGGATTTAGAATAATATGAAGACAAATGACAGAAACTAGTGTCACCTTGATTCCAGAATTTATTATGCCTTAGATGGTAGTTGGAGGTAGTCCCTAGCCTAGACTTCTCTGTCCGAGAAGAACTAGTACGTTCGCGATTTGTAGAAGGGCTTTTGCCGGGTGCACTACGACAGCACTTGCTACACATGCCACCAAACAGTTTACAGGATCTTAAAACCACAGTCCTTTGTTTAATGACCGCTGATAAGTTAGCAAGCACTTCAACTGCACCCTATTCGACAGCAACGGCTATCGGAGAGTCTAGTGTATCGCATCAGTGTGACTCCGCTCAAACTATTTCCGTCTAGACAACCGCTAAACTCCCCCCGGAGCCTCTCCGGGGGCTACCGCCGGTCCCAAGCCCAGGTAAAAGAGGAGGGTTGGGCATGGGGTTAGCGACACCATCCTGTAGAAAACTAACTCGCTAAAAAATGCTAACCAGAAAAAATTATTCAAACCTTTTAAACTCTGTCCTGGGAGTCAGAAGGTCTTCATTTAGAAGAGTTATGACGCCTCATGATGAAAGCCGAATTCCTTCGGAAACCACGAGACCGATGACCCTTCTGACAACCAGAGCAACCGTTTATTTAGGTACGTGGAATCTTCGTACAATGTGGGACACCGGGAGAGCCTTCCAAATTGCTGCAGAAATGCGGATACAACCTAGATTTGCTTGGGATCAGTGAAACACACTGGACGAAAGTTGGACAACAACGACTAACTACAGGAGAGCTCCTGTTATACTCCGGCCATGAAGAAGAAAATGCCCCACATACACAAGGAGTTGCATTGATGCTGTCCAAACAAGCACAAAATGCACTTATAGGATGGGAATCTCATGGACCAAGGATCATCAAATCCTCCTTCAAAACAAAGAAAGAGGGCATTTCAATGAACGTCATCCAATGCTATGCGCCTACCGACGACTTACAATGAAGACGCTAAAGATTCATTCTACGATAGGCTGCAGTCAATCATCTAGAAGTGCCCAACAAAGGACCTGACCATTCTGATGTGAGATTTAAATGTCAAGGTTGGAATAGACAACACCGGATATGAAGACATTATGGGATGACACGGACTTGGAGAAAGAAACGGAAATGGTGAGATTTGCAAACCTATGAGCCTTCAATAAACTGGTCATAGGCGGTATTGAATTTTAAAAATTTCAACAACTTACTTGTGTACAATGGTAACCGTCGGAACATGTTGCTGCATTGAAGCCTTCTTGATTTGGTGCTTCAACAGCTGCTCCTGCAGCCGTAGGAGCGTCACTTCTCACCCTGACTTTATGCCCAGACTCATCAGGATTGGGAGTAGTAGTACAATCAGAACTAGATCCTTTATTTTTATTGATTGCACAAATGTTTGGAATTCTTTGCCACACCTTAATAGTATCATCTCTTAGACCGCTAACAATTTTATGCTTATCATACTGAAGACAATAAACGCCTTTTGTGACATCGCTTCGACATGGTATCCGAGTTAAATGATACTGACCACGGGTCCAGTTATCTTCGACGCGCTGAACAGAAAAAACGGTGGACAATTTGTCAAAATTAAGCAAGGAAATAAAAAATAAACGCAGAAATTTGAGGCTACTCATTTACAATAAATTACATTTAACTACATAAACGCTATTATTTACCTAACGACACCAATAGGACCACTGATACTACTAGTCTAAATGACAATCATAGTCAGCAGCTGAAGACCACAGGTAAAAATTACCACCAATGCATCGAAGACTTTAGGTGGCACGGTTCACAATCATTAAAAATGATATAAATGGATCCATCCTTATCTTTCGATTTTAAATTTCAGTAATCCCTCATACATCTTTCTGAATCACATTTTCATTGTTTTATCTTTTTTATTATCATTTTTACTACATTTCGATATCGTTTGTCATTATCTTCATTAAATTCATCTCTCTGTAGTGATACAATATGGTAATATGAACTGATGTATATTTGTTCAAGGTTCTATATTTATTATAATGAACTGATTATTAACTACTGAAATAGTTTTCATTCCAAATACTTAATATACACTTGCAGTAATATCTTGTTATAGGAAAACAAAAATTGTAAAAGCCAAAAAAAACATTAAAAGGGTAATTATCATATTTTTTTACAATATGTACTGAATACATGAAGAAGAAAATCTCAACAACAACAACATTAACACAAGACTACAGAATGTGAACAGTTTAGTTGGTTTATACACGAGTAGAATATAAAAAAAGGTAGAATGCAATGAAACATATGTGACCTAAAAATTGGATGAAACAAGTGTCTACATAGAAATAAATAAACTGAAATACAATTAACAAATATTTATTTGACTAGAAAAAAAAAGATTCAGTAATATAAATAGAAAAATGTTATCGAATGAAAGAGAGAGAAAATGTCGAGAATACTTGTCGCTAACTAGAACAGACAAACATTATCAACATACATTAGCATGAATAGTTGCTAACGTTATGAAAACCCCCTATATACTTATATTGTAACTGATTAGATCATATTTAGATGAAAAACAACCATGACCTGTTACAAATTGGATGATATTCGTTAAAAATTTATAGATACTACAATCATACTAGTAATTGTTAATACTCATAAGTAGTTTTTACAGGAAGAAAAATGAGGAAAATCGGATGCGCAAAAAGAACTGCAGAATATAGGGTTAGAGGTGGATGGAATCGTTTAGATCGATTTTTATAATATCAAAGGATTATATCTTGACAGACAGGAAAGTTTTCATTTTCGTTGTATACAATAAATGCTAAGAAATTCAACTTTCTACTCAATAAGTAACTTACAAAACAGTTGATTACAAACTCGCATAACTATAAGCTAACCATTTTAGTTATGAAAAATTTTCTACAATGTTTTATCATATCGATCATCATGATAAGTACAAAGAAACTAATAAACTGAGTAAATATTTGAAATACTAATACGGGTAAATAGCTATCCTTTTCATATCTCCGATAAGTACAGGATGAATAGAATTAAAGTTGTTAAAGATAAAAAGTTGCCACCGATTTTCTAAACTATTACGTGTACTTCGATCTCTACGTCCTATAGGACTGTAGTGGAAGGACGATTTAAAAGTTAAAGTACTAGGCGCTTAACCGTTAAGTTGTAAGTTCATAACCACTTCAAGACTGATCACAGATAACATTTGAAGGCTAATCATGACATTATTGTATGACAACTAGAACCGATGTACATACTTATCAGGTTCTACGTTGCACTGAATGACTGACTCACTGTTACAAGCGCACACAACCGTTAAGTGTTAAACTGAACATGACTTTCTACATGACGTAGCTTGTAAATATAGGTGAAACAAATGCACAGACTTTACCATAAACAAAGCTAGATCATAGTAAAATAAAAAAAGTGAGAGAAAAGTAAATAAAAAGCTTACTGCTATATCACGAATTATGCGAGGATAAAGTTGTTTGTAGAAGCGATGGGCAAACATAACTGTTTCGTAAGAAAGTGCATCATGTAGATCTGTCTCCATGGAAAAAGAAGTTGCACTCACAAGCCGATGATTTAATCCATCATTCGCATTATATGGGCTTAAAGAACAACTAGGTGTGTTGGATGCATCAATTGTAGAATCTCTTGAAAATGGGATACTTTGAGTTCTCGATACGTAGGAGTGTGTATCAGTAGGATATATTAAGGAATGTTGAATGTCTGAATGACACTGGCATACCAGAGATTGCTGACGATTTACACTAACAGTTGATTCTAGTTTCGGAGAAAGTTTTGATGCTTCACATTCCATGCAAGAATTACTATCAAGGAATGGGGAGAATTCGGTTAGTTTATGCCTAACACCTATGGGGACCCGACGTCGCTCGAGTAATGCAGGTAAATAAGCTGGATCAGAGTGGTCAATAAATTCAATCCATCCTCTACGTTCACACAGCCCATGCCAAACTGGGTCAGTAGCTACACGACAAGCTAGTAGACGACGCCACAGTTGATACTTTGCAACACTCCACTGCCATCCTCTAGAAGCGAGTTCAACTGAAAGAAGACTAGATGCATCTAGCTGGACTAAAATCATTTCAGCAAGATAAGGAACACCGCGATCTATGAAATTATTAAAAAATTCAGAAACAGATTAATGATTTTTGAAATGACTGACTGATCAATATTCTACTTAGACCGATTGTGTGCGAAAATAGTTCAATACACTTTTTCAAAAACATGCTCTTAGAAATACACCTACATCTGATATTTATGGCCATCATATCAAATTATGGAAATTCTATCGAGTACAACAACTTCTTTTAGTTTAAACAGTCAGTCAGTCAGTCAGCTACAACGTAGGACCAGGCACATGTATGCATCGGCGCAGGTTGCCATACCTCATTAGCACAGCAAGATGAACACCGGATTCATAGGAGTGGTTAGGTCAAAGGTGGTAATATATAGGAGAAAGATTGCAATAAGGATATAGTGTAGGAAGAAAGAATTAGTTCGTAGAAAGAAAGATATGAAGCGATTTTAATCTCTTAGTTTAAGAGAAGACAGAGAGTGTATACACCGACGCCATTGTGATCGATTCTGAGCCATGTCACCAAGGGTCTCCAACCATTGGTTACGAAAGTCAGGTACCTCCAGAACAACCTTTCCACGGTGTGGGCAACCGGGAAGTGATAACCGCCCTCATACTTCTAACAGCACTTAAGACCACTGTATTCATAATCAACCTCCCTCTCCAATTCCTATTATTCCTCCTACATCGACTTTCAACTCTATATTTCCTCTCTCGGCTTCCATCTCAAGTGTCACCGTAGCCAACGATTCTAGTGCGCAAAACACTGTCCCAGGTCTACTGAAACCTCGCTCCAAACTACACATTGGAGCCTTCAACGTACGCACCCTATGTCAAACCGGTCACTTACACTTGACTTATTAATTCCAGTTTCTTTTATTAGTCTGTAAAGCTGTCTTGTGTTCCCTATAGTCGCCGCCTTTTCCATCTCTTTTGCTTTCGTTGCCCACCACTGCTCACGGTCGTTCCTTAGACTTTTTCTTAACCTAGATCTGATTTGTTTACGCTCTTCATCATGTTCAGAACCTGATGGGACGAGTTTGCGAGAATCCATCAGTGTGACAGACCTTGAAGAAATCCACTGGTTCCTTGTAACTATGTGGTTTAAGTCACTAATAGATGTCACTGCTGTTTCCACAGCTGATTGTATGCCCTTCCAAGCAACATCTGGGTCAGCCTCGTCTTCACAACTACCTAAGTGTGACCTCAGTTGTTCCTGGAACCTACTTTTGGTTTTCTCGTTACTCAACTCAGTTCTAACGGGTCTTTTTAATGTGGCTTTTTTGCGTCCAGTGAGGCGCAAGCAGATGCGTGCCCGTATTAGGGCATGGTCGGAGTCCAAGCAGGTACTCCAGAATGAGCGACAATCTTCTACCGACCCTCTCCAACGATGACTGATGGCAATATGGTCTATTTGAGTCCATCGTTGGTTTGGTGTAGGGGGTCGCCATGTTAGACGATGTCTCTCCTTATGCTTAAAATTTGTGTTTGCTAAAAATAAGCGATTGTCTGAGCATAGTTGCAGCAGACGGTCACCATTATCTTGAGGAACCTTGAGGAACGGTTGTTCCAGCCAGTATAGCTCGGTTGCTTCATCACGATAGGCAAGCCCGACCACCACGTCAAGGTAGCAACAACGGTCGGGTTTTAGTTTAAACACATAAAACGTACTAGATATCGTACTAATTCATGTTATTTATACAATATGAACTAATATTAGACAGTATTACAATGTATACACATCAAATCCCTATACAATTTCTAGAAATGTATAAAGGTGACTTATCTAAAAGTTGACAAATAACTCAGTTCTGGCCTGATTTTCTACTGACTAAAAGTGATAACGTGACTAGTAAACTAACTGATAAACTTGAAATGCCACAGATTTCCAAAGCAGTAGCATTCAAGTAACGTCACGTCACTAGCATAGAATTTGTTTAATCTTATAGATTGTGCAAGTTTACTTACTTTGGAGCGCAACAATAAAATCACGCTTTAGGAGAGGTTCTAGGAAATCATTGATTTGACTTTGTTGAAAGTGAGAAATTTTCGACAACAGGTTGCAAATGAAGTCAACTTGGTCTCCATTTGACCAAGAAGTAAATGTATCAATGCAGTTTTTCTTCTCCATAGAAACTGGAGAGCTATTATTATGCAGGCGCTTTTTCTTTTGATCGACAGGTGTGCTAGTATCAGACGACGGCTTTGACCGTTTGATATTGGAAATGCAAGTACAGCGAACCTAAGTAAAGGAAAAGTTAAGAACAAAGCGAAATTAGTAAAGCAACTGTGAATCACAATAATTATAAGCAGACGATCCATCAACGAACAAATCGGGTTTGATTATCAAGCTGATTCTGTGAAAATAACTATACCAGGACAAGTGATAAAACGCGAGTCATTCACTGGCAGAGTTTGACAATGATGTCCTTTCAAAATAAAAAAAGTTTTGATGTTTTTACCACCACAGTTTTTTGTTAAGGAAACAACAAAACTAATCCTAAATTAACAGTTAAGATATATTATAGCTGTAACTGAGGAATAAACGACTTTACAAGTTAGTTAGTTAACTAACCTAGGAACAACAAAAACTGCACATTAACTAGTGAGGTAAGACAAGTTGCTCTTTGCTTTTTCCCAATCCACTTATATCTTAGTAACAATAACACGTAAAAGTGGAAGATGACCAGAGATCAGTAATATGTTTCAAAACTATCCCAGTCGATGAAGGTTCAGAATATTACCGACCGAACTGTTATAAATTTGTATTGCTTATTATTTATTTATTTAAACACACAAACATGGGTACAAGAACGCACCAAATAGACATGCGCCACATAAATCACTCGATTTATGTGAGAGGATACTGACCGGGTGACCAAACCTAAGCAAGTGGTTTTCTTAAGGGGTCACACCCAGAGCCTTCGACCTGAAGGTCTAATCCACAAGGCAGTGGAGCAACATCAGGAATTGCAGTCCCATGGTAACCGGTGGGGTTTACCTGTTTGGGGTTTGCGCAACAACCGTAAATGGTGGCTGGAGACTTTGAGCGACATTACTCAGAATCGTCAACAATGGCGCCGATGAATCCACCTTTTATCTTTTTCATGATTTTGAGTTTCAGTATTCCTTTATACATACCTTTCCACTTTGTCTTTGCCAACCACACTCTCAGTACTCAGTAATGCTCGTTGTTATTGATGCTATATTATCCAGATAGCTTTTGCTATCTACTTTGTTAGTTTCATTTTGCCGAGTAAATATGGTAATTGCAACTTGGGCCAAAGCACACCTGTGCTGTGTTCTGGATTGCTAACGTCTGACTTAAATGAATGTTAACTCCGTAAGCATATCCATGATGGAAATAATTACCCATAGTAGAAAGACACTAAAACATGGGAACAAAGCACTTGTCTGTTTGATATATCAATTACACATAAGTTTCTGAGATTACGTTAGGAACGACATTCAGTAAAACTACACACAGTTTACTACCAGTATAGAACTGGTTAAGGTCCTAAAGACGACTTGGCTTAGTGGCCCGAAACATTAACAGAGATTGCTTATAATAGGAATCGATAGCAGTCCTGTTCTTCATAAAAGTGAGAACTACCTAAGCTGAAATTATTCCTGGTTTTATTTTTAAAGACTGATTTTTCCTTGTCATAGTCTATTTTCATTTTCTTATTTCTGTTCATCTTTTTCACTTGACTGTACTCAGCCCTTTTCCTCCACTCTTTCACAATCTCACCTAGTTGTGTGACTACTTGTACCAATGTGTTCAAATCAGTAAAAAAGTTATTTTTATGGACGTTGCAATGATTTAATTGACTCTTCCGGACGGTGACATGTGATACCTTCACAAAAGATAAGAATCCGAAGTTTATCATATTTATGTTCTCGAGTTCACGAAGAGCCATAATATGAATATCGTAAGTTATGTAGCACTCATCAGGAATGAAAGGTACTGTCATCCAAAACTTGGTAAGTCACGTATTTCCTTCAAAAGACAAATGATTGTTACTTATCACTGATAGCCACATTTGTCAGAGGTATAATGGACTTTGACACTTATCGGTTCTCCGCATCATGGATGGGCATCCCCTGTCATTTTGTAGTACTTAATGAGTGACGTAATAGCTTCAGACTGGGAACTAGTCCGCATTCTGAGGGAACGAATGAACCATTAGAAGACTCGAGAGTAGTTAGAGTACCTGATTGTCGAGAAATAACAACTAAATATAAGTTTATTAAGCCATGTGATACAAGTCCATACACATATGGGGAGTTGAGTAAGTTACGAACTTCTCGTCGGCTACATAAAAGTAGTTTTGTAACGCCTAACCTATCTCAAATGGAATACCTGATAATCTATGATTACTAAGTGTTACCACTATCAGTAAACAAAGTGGAGCTTGATATAAAAATTCATGGTATTAATAATAAACGTATAGACACCTCGTGTGTTGAAGTGAACGAGTGGTCTATATTGAGACCGGGTTTGTTATAAAACAGCTGAAGTAAGCTTCTAAGAAACAATAGAGGGTGGAACTTTCAACACTAAAATGTACAGTACTTGGAGCTCATAGGAGTTAACAGGCGGTTAATCATCCTGTGACACAATCCTACATTGTGGGATTGTGGATGGTTTTGACTTACTTTGATGTCATCGTATAAACAGTGAAAAATATGAGAAAACTACACTAAAATGTTTGGATAGTTCGAAATATGCCAACTTCCCTAATGTGGGGAAATAGCTATAAAAAGCTTTGGGGAAATGACACAAAAACACCAAAACTTCACCAGGTCTGGGGAAATCCCCAAAATGTCTGGGGGAATCTTGGGTTCCCCACAATACTTCTCTGGAACCCTATAAAGCTTCAGAGGTTTTCCCTAAACTCTATGGAAAACCACCATATTTCGTATGACTTTGGGGAAAACCCCAAAATTTACCTTAAGTTCCCTAAATGGGGATAACCAGTAAATTCTTACAGATCACTAAGAACCAAGATAGAAATGCTAGTTTAAAAAGTCTCCAGAGCATTCTAAAGTTACGGAAGACCCAGGGTACTGACCGATAATGATGTACTCAGGTCAAAGTAAATTACAGTTAGGTTAAGTTGCAAATTAAACTCAGAGCATCACATATACCATATTCTAGTCCTACGCACGACACATGCGGTGCGATATTGACCTTCTGATATGTATGCTTACGTTTTCAGATAATTCCCGACAGTTTTCACACCCTCGGTCAGAGCAAATATCTCTATGCTGACCAGAGAACATACTCCTATGAAAAGCGCAAGTTTCAAGTTGTGCAGCTAAACAATGTCCAATGCGCATATTTCAAACTAGACAATTACTGTCCATCAATAACACTCAGTTCCAGTTTGAAAAGAACAATAAGCTGGATTGCCTGTGTTATTCATAACAATAGTGTTCTCAGTTGATCCAACTTTCATTTGAATGCGTCTACAGTGTTGGGATAAACAAAATAGTTCTAATGGTTGTGGACGGAATAGAAGAAGCTTTTGTATAGCAAGCTTCCGCGTCTAATAGTAGTAGATCACCAATTCTTTTCAGGTAAGAATCTAGGTATATTCTTGATAACAGAGGAAAATGTAATCCGAAAATCATAATAAGATACAATCTTTAGTCCTTAACAAAAAGTCAAGCTTGTAGTGGCCCACTTTTATCAACAGAACGCGATTGATGTAATAGAAATAATTATTATCATCACCAACTGTATCAGTGGTCGTTTTACTGTACCTGTTTGTTTAACTGTACTAAGGACACATACATTATTCGGTTGCTTGTGACCTTGCACGAATCCGGTCACGCTCAGTAACCACACTTGTAACCTGTCACGATTTCGGTATTGTTTCGATACCAAGAGATAGCCAAAAAATACATCTCGGCTATAGATATTAACTGCCTTCTGATATTTGGTCTGTAGGGGATCTTGTCGGTTGACTGGCGCGTTGTCTTCCTTTAGTGGTGAACATAGTCGAACGTGACTTGACGCCACACTACAAGTTTTCTCTTACAGTACTCCTAAAAAGTCTATTTCACATGTAGCAGTAAATGAGTTCCCAAAATAAATAGCTCTGTAAGTCTTCGACATTGGATACTGACTCTATTAGTTTCAATGGACTCACCTAGATGAAGGCACCCGGTCACTCATCCTCACCAGATCACGAGTGGGAACGCCGTGATCAACATCCCCTGCAATCGCTAGCCAGTCTAGATCAGTCCATCCTCGATACATTGATAAACTATCAAATTTATCATCGAACCTCCTCGCTTCTATCTTTTGACTTCACTTGGTGGGTACTATTCATGGCAGTAGGTGTTACTGGTTAAATCGTTCCCAAACTCCGAATACCTGTGGCATCCTTCATTGATGAGCATAACGTGATCCAGTACACCAAATCGCAAATTGTGAGTCTGTTCCTTTCTGGGATTTTATATATCATTGCCTTATTTTAATTTTTTATACAATTCATAATTTTCTTCCTTTTTTGATACATATATTTTTTTCACTCGTTCATTCTCGTACTTGATATTTCACCATGACTGAACGGACACCCAAGGTACTTAAGTTAAAGTCTATGTCATCACTTTCGTTTCAAATAATTCCCTTCTGGCCAGAAAACATCGAAGCCTGGTTCCGTTATGCAGAGACCGACTTCCACGAGCACGACGTGAGCCACACACATGCACAATTCGTCGCAGTAACCCGGGCACTAGCGAGCGAATTCAACAGGTACGTAACACCTAGTATGTTTACTAGTGATGTTTCAGAACGCTACGAAACACCTAAACAATCTATCCCCAAACGCAGAGATCTAACTGATCGACAAAGTCTAGACCAACTCCTTAATAACATCGACCTGAAACACTATTCTGCGGCAGACATGTTACTAAGAACGAGGGAAGTTATAGGCCACAGAAACTTATGTGATTGCCTATTCAGACAACGTTCCTTATCTGAACTTCCTCAACAGGTGAAAGCTCCGCTGGTACCGTTCCAAAACAACGCTTTAGATGAGCTGGCTGCGTCTGCCGGCCGCATCTTAAAAATCACGAAATCTTCTAATGTCGATGCTTTTATAGTCCAGGAAAAACATCAAACTATCCAGAATGACATCACAGAGTTATGTCTTACTCGTACACGTTATCTTAGATTTCGTAACGACCGTAAACTGTCACATACCACGCGAAGAAGCACTTCACGTAAGCAATCCATCACTAAACCACTAAAGATGGATAACCTCAACTGGTGCTGGTATCACAACAAGTAATGGAAAGTCCTCCAGAAATTGAAGAAAACCTGTAGAACTATGGTCTTCTATGATTAGGTACTGCTCTAATAATAGACCTAATCCTAAATTTGTAGATTTGTCATGATATAACTGCCTAATCTATAAGATCTTACGTGGAAGTCACACCATCGACTACACCAACTCGCTGTATCATATCAATTACCAATACATGATGTAGAACAAGGTTAGGCTAGAGGAAGAACAATATATTTAATATGAATAGAAGATATAAGGTAACATTCAGCAGAGACCACGCCTGCATGGTCGAGCCATGCCATCCGATCAACTCCAGTCCATTCAATTCATTCTTCGCGCCTTCTCCATCGTTAGGTATTTCTCCGCGTTAAATATTGAATATCTATTTTCGGAGTAGTCTCGTGTTCACAGCTTTGTGGACTGTGTGGCTATTGTCCAATGCCACTATAAACCCTCCAATCTTTTTAAAACTCAAAATCGACCGACACGAAAAACAATTCAAAAGACTTTCAAGCCGGCACGCGTTAACGGAAACCGTAGCCGGCGAACATAGCCGCCTGTTATACGTCTCAGATGTGATGACGAATGTTCGCTCTCTCGTCAAGACTGGCACAGAAATTAGCGTTCTTCCTGCAAATTCTAACAAACGGCTTAACTGACCGGTTTTAAATCTACAGGCGGCAAACGGAAAGCCTATCGTCACATAAAGTAAAAGGTACGTTTGCCTTAACATGACTTTGCTCAAACCCATACACTGGATCTTCGTTGTTGCAGATGTTTCTATGCCAATCATTCGTATAGACCTCCTACAACACCATAATCCAGTCATCGATACGGGCAAACGGAGGCTAGCAAACGGAAACACTAGTTTACCTGTTGTCGTAACTTCTGTTTCCGTTCGCAGATTATCTCCTGTCATACTTTGGCGCACGATAAATCTATTCTATCAATCACTACTTGACAAGTATTCTGGGATAAACCAACCACAACCGAAATTGCGTGTGTAACCAGCAGCGTTACACATCATATCGCGACTACAGGGCCACCTGTATTCTCGAAAGCACGCCGACTGGCTCCCGAAAAACTGAGGTTGGTTATAAACGAATTCGATCACGTGATAGACTTAGGAATCATACGACCGTCAAATAGCCCATATGCATCTCCGTTGCACATGGTCCCTAAAAAGGACAGCAACGATTGTCGTCCAACTGGTGATTATCGGCGATTGAATGCGAAAACCATTCCCGATCGTTATCTGTGGCCCCACATTCACGATTTGACAGCAACCTTGAAAGGTACAACCGTCTTTTCGAAAATCGACTTGGTTAAAACTTACAACCAAATTCCCATGACCACTGACGATATTCCGAAAACCTTCGCACTTTTTGAATTTTTGCGCATGCCTTTCGGCCTAGGAAATTCTGACATTTTCAAACTAGTTCAGCAGGCAGCGAATTTAAGCATTTGACAACTCCTAAGGAGTAGAAGTTGTGTCTACAGTTAGATCTGCTGTGCAGTTTCCCCAGTTTCTGCATGTTATCCCTTAGGTTTGTGTGGGAAAAAACTCAATTAACCGTTTAGGAGGATGTCAAGGACTGTCAAGTATGCTACAGGTCATAAGAAGGTCACCTCCAAAATGCCTGTACTCTAATGGATAAGGGTTCAGTGGTTGGAGGCGCTCTTCATAAGGCCTGAATTTGAGACTCCGAACTGATTTTGTGGCTTGCCTTTGGATATGTCCCAGCGTCCTTATGCTTTTGGAGCGAGGGAGGAAATACCATATTTCCGTACTTTAAAGGGGAGCGAAAAAAAACTTGAAAATTATGTGAAACGTTCTTCCATCGAACTGGCCGAAAGTAGGTTTTAATGTTCTCGTTTCACGGTGTAGCGGTGAGTAAATCTCCAAAATCAGTAGCTTTGTAAGTCTTCGACATTGGATGCTGACCATATTCGTCTTAATAGACTCACCTGCCTGAAGGCGCTCGGTCATGCATCCGTATCAGATCACGAGTGGGAGTGTCATGCTCAACTTATTCTGCAACAGCTAGCCAGTTTAGATCAGTTGCTTGATAGCCTACCAACTATGTCTTCAAACCTTCTTGCTTCTGACATTTGATTTCACTGGGTGAGCACAATTCATTATCGGTGTTATTGGTTAGAGCGTAGTCAAACTACAAATGCATCTTCAGTTCTATTATGAGAGTCGCACTAATATCAAACTACACAGCTATTCTACAATCCTACCTTCCAAATAAATATTTTCACTGCTCTTTCAAAGTTCTGAGAAATTGTTCCTTAATTTTTAGTAGTGCAGCAATTTTGGAGGGGAGAGGGGTTGTAAGAGTGAGAGATTTTATACTTAAATCACGTCCACAGGTTGCGGAATGGAATTTCGGTGATTAACTTCAAGCTCAACTTTGTGATCGTCCAATCGTTTAGAATAACACTTGAAATTCGAAAAGTAAGTTAATTTGAAAGCTTTAAGATCATTTCAAGAAAGTCAAATTTTTAATTATAAGAAACTGGATGGTTTTGATGTGCAGCCTGTGAAAAAGTCAGATACTGTTCAAAGCTTTCTTTAAGAAATACACCTTCAATATCTCTCACTTTCTCCCCAAAGTGATAAATATTCTCACTCTTAAAAAAATATACGGAACGAGTTTTACCAATGATTAGAGTGTTTCACCAAGGTAAGCGTAGTTTGTCAAATGTTTTATATTGTTGATTACTGGAATCCATTCTATACAGACACTTGTCGGCTTCAACCCTTGAACGTGGGTTCCTGAGAACTCACCTACTGTGAGTTTTCTTCGTATTTATATTAGCCCGGGCTCTAAATAATTTTATTCGAGGCGGTTTACTTTCGGTCACGTGTTCTAGTGACATTTCAAAAGTCGCACAAAAATGTAATGTCTCAAATCTTAAGTTATCATCAAAGCTTATCAAGCACCCAGAAACTGGAGAAACTACACAGCAGATCTAACTGTAGACACAACTTCTACTCCTTAAGAGTTGTC